TCCCCCCCCCCCCCACTGCTGACACAGAACTGCTAAACTTCAGAAAGGCGGCTGCTACTGGGCAACAGTGATAGTTGAAAGTGACACTAACAGAGATCTATTCAGACAATGGCAGGAATACTCAAGCTAACTCTGGTTAGTACTGCGCAGAAGAAGAAGGTGACAATCCACTTCTGAATGTTCTTACCTCAAAAAGCCTATGATGAAACAATAAAAAATGATACAAGAGATAGTGCCAAAAGATGAGACCCCTGAGTTTGGCATTTTACAAGCTACCGGGGAAGGACAAAGGACAGTGCCAGTAGCACTGTCACTAATGACACCATTAGGTCACACCCAAAAGGAAATCTAGTGGCCGACACCCAGAGAGGTGAAAAGAAAGTCCAGTGCTGAACTACGCATATAATTGGGACATGGAACGTGAGATGCATGAATCAAGGCAAACTGGAAATCATGAGGCAGGAAATGGAAATAATGAACATTGTAGTACTTGATGTGAGGAAACTAAGGTGGACTGGAATGGGACATTTGCAGTCAGACAAGCACAGAGTATTTCACTCTGGAAATGACAAGCTCAGAAGAAATTGAGTGGCTCTAACACTGAGGCAAGATGTAGCACAGGCAGTAAGGGAGTACAGTGCAAAATCCAACTGAATAATATCAGTCAGAATTAGTGGAGAACCTATCAGCATAACCATCACTCAAGTCTATGCTCCATCAAGAGATGCTGAAGACAAAGAAATTGAAAACTGTATGCAGGTGTTCAGAAGGAAATCGTAACACGCAAAAACAAGACGTGTGCCTAATCCTGGGGGGCTGGAATGCAAAAGTAGGAAATAAAGCAAAATCAAATGTTTTAGGAAAGTCAAATGTTTTCCCCTACCTGGACTAGGGGAAAGAAATGAAGCAGGAGAATAGCTTGTAGAATTTTATGAAGCCAACAACTTCACTGCATACACATACTTTAAACAACCACTCAGATGACTGTATACATGGACTTCACCAGATGGCCAAGCAGAAATCAAATAGATTATGTAATTGGAAGCAGAAAGTGGAGAAGCTGTATTCTTCCTGCCAAAACAAGACCAGGAGCAGACTGCGGTAGTGACCATCAGCTCTTGATTTCAAAAATCAGAGTAACACTTAAAAAGATCCCCAACAGAAACATAGTGCCAAAATATAACTTAAGTAACATCCCCTAATAATTTAAAGTCCACATAAAGAACAGATTTGCATTGCTCAACTTGATCATGAGCCAGAAGAACTGTGGACTGGAACCAAAGATATCATTGGGGAAGAGTGCCAAGAGACAATTCCTCTAGCAACAAGAAAGAAAAGGAAGGTGATAGAAACAGGGACAGAATCCTGAATGCAACTTTCTGGCAACTATTGTGTAGTGTCAGAAAGAACTATTACAGTGATCAGTGCAAAGAGATAGAAGAAAGCAGCAAAATACGAAAAACAAGAGACCTCTTCCAGAAGTTCTAAGAAATCAGAGGGAAATTCAAACCTAGATTAGGGATGCTGAAAGACAAACAGGAGGACATACTATCTGAAGTATAAAATAAAGAGAAGGTGGAAAGAATATACAGAAGAACTATATAGAAGTGATGAAAGGATGGCAGACTCCTTTGAAGCAGAATCCTATGAAAAAGAACCTCCAATATTAGAAAATGATACGAAAACTGCTCTGAAAGCACTTAAAAAGAGTAAAGCACCTGGGGTAGACAGGATGCCAATAGAGCTATTCTAAGCTGCAAAAAATGAATCAGTCCAAACCGTAACAAAAATATGTAAACAAATACAAAAAACAAAACAATGGCCTACAAACTGGAAACATTTCAATATATACTCCCATCCCCAAGAATTGTACAGAACTTCAGGAACTGTTGCATCAATCTCCCACGCAAGCAGAGTGATGGAACAAAAGAATATGGATTGAGATATGCCAGACATCCAAATGGTTTCTAACAAGGAAGAGACACCAGATATTATATTGCAAATATACATCGGTGTGCTCCAATAGCCAAAGAATTTCAGAAAAAGATCACTCTTTGTAGAGTACAGCAAAACCTTTCACTGTGTGGAACATGAGAAGCTATGGATGGTCCTGAAAGAGATGGGGGTGGCTCAGCACTTGATTGTCATGTTGCAGAATCTTTATCATGGACCAGAAGCTACTGAGAGCACAGAATACAGAGAAATATAGGCAAAGCTGTCGGACAAGGATGTCCTTTATCTCCCTATCTGTTCAAGATGCATGCAGAACATATCATAAAGAAAGCTGGATTAGAATCAGAGGAAAGAATGAAAATTGATGGAAGAAACATCACTAACTTAAGATATGCAGTTGATACCATACTACTGGCAGAAAGCAGCAATGACTTGAAAGGACCTTTAATAAAATGAAAGAAATACAAAAGCAGGACTGCAGCTGAATATTAAGAAAACCAAAACAAAACATGTGCACAGAAGAATGACAAAACTTTACTATTAATAATGTAGAAACTGAACTTGTGAAAAAATTCACATGCCTTGGCTCAGTCATCAATTCAGGCTGCAGCCAAAATTTTGAAAACTGAGACTTGAAAGTGCAGTAACGAAGGAACTAGAAAGCATAATCAAGTGTAACGTTTTACTGGAGACCAAGATCTAGTTAATCCAAACTATTGTATTCCCAATTGCAATGTATGAAATGTGTGAAAGTTGGGCAGTGAAGAAAGATGACAGGAACAAAATGGATGCATTTGAAACATAGCACTGAAGGAGAGCTTTGCAAATACCCTGGACTGACAGAAAGACAGACCAGTGGGTCCTAGATCAAACCAAGCCAGAGCTTTCCCTAGAAGCAGAAATAACAAAACTGAAACTGTCAAACTTGACACATCAAGTATAAGAAGACAAGACTAACTGGAGAAGACAATCATGTTAGGGGAAGATGAAGGCAGAAGATGAAAGGGAAGACCAAATGTGAGATGGATTGAATTTATAAAGGAAGCCACAGCCTTGCACTTGGAAGAGCTGAATGGAGCTGTCAGCTTGGACAGTTGTCATCTTTTGGACAGCATTCATTCCTATGGTTGCCAGTCAAAGATGACTTGACTGCACATAACAAGGCTGGACTTAGATGCTCCTACCCCTGTCCTGAATGAAAGCATCATAATAATTAGTCTGAGGAAGTGACACAGATCTCTGTATGCCTGGAGAAAAGCCACATTTACTCATTTAGGACTTTTACTGGCAAATTAGTGTGAAGGATTTATAAACCTGCAGTGCTGGTTTGGAATGGATAGGAAACAGAATGTCCTATGTCCATGTTTATTCTGGAACCAAGTGCATCATTAGAGCCAACCTTTTTGGTGCAAGATGAGGAAGTGACATGCATCAATGTGGAAGAATAGGGATCTACTTTGGCAGTGCCAAAAGTGGAGAGAGATAGTCATCAGAAAACAGAACAATAACAATTGATACTTTATGAAAGCTTTGACTTGATATATTCAATAAAGGTGAACTATTTAAGCAGAAGTTAATTTGAAGGGTTTAATACTAATGAAGTTCACCTGTAAGTACAAGCACCTTATTCTCATTCTCATTCCTGTTAAAATGAGAACCGGTGGCATGCCAAACGCATGACTGAACAAGCAGCTTTGAAATACAGTAAAATAATAAAGATTAATTAATACCTTTGGAGGAAGGTAATTCATTTTGTGTAGCTGATAGATTTATAGTGGAATTTCCAAGCTTCCTTAGGACTGTTTGGATGTTATTTTCAGTGGTGAGTAAATGCATATAGGTAAGGCAGCAGGATCCTGCCTGTTGACCTCACCCCTCCCTCCCCACGTCAGCATATGTTCACATACTAAGTCACACTGTACGCACTGTGGCATGAACTTGCTCTTCCTGCAGGTGTTTGGTCAACACTGTAACATTTGCAGAGTTCTTATAATGAAAGGTTAATTACATTTAAATCAACCCATTCTTCACAGTCATTCTTCTTAAAATACACTGCAATTTAGCATGTTGGAGGAACCAAAGCTATAGCTATGATCTGCAAATTAAGACCCCACATTCCTGGAAAGGATAGCAAAAATGCAAATTGACCTAGATAATTGAGTTTCATTTACCCTAGCATGTCACTGAGAATCTGATTATGGAAGTACATCATAACTGTATATAGCTAGGTTGTAGTCCTTAGTTCCCAACCTGGTGCCCTGCACAACTCCCATAACAAAGAGGCCACAGCGTTGCACTCAGAAGAGTGATGAGTTACTCATTCTTATCTAAGGAGGCTATCCTGTGTATGTTGAAACAGAAAAGAGCCCTAGGATACCGTGCACACTGCCAAAGTGAGCGTGACTGCCTGGAGAAATGCAGGGACTCGTAACCTTCTTGGCATGCATAGTGGTGGACCTTAAGGCTAGAGAATCCTGCTTTGTAGCAAGCTGTGTCACTGAGCTCCAAGTCCCATTAGGCACAGTAAATAGCAGGCGTGCCAGCGATCCCATGGTCCATAGATTACAGAATAACCCATTAAGCTGCTGTGACTGCAGGGAGAAATTGCATCAGTCTCAGCAAGGCACAAGCCCACCTACTGCACTCTTCCTGGGAGGGTAATACTGCAGGGATTGCCTCTCACTGCAATCCATACTGGCCTTTATTACATGGCGGGTGGGAGTTATCCCACTGAAATCAAGGGGGTTCAGACCACAGTTAAATATGCAACTCTCATTGAATTCTATTGGATGTATATGTATATAATCTTCTTTCCATTGTATTTTTGTATTTGCCCTATTTTTTCTTATTTTTGTAATGAAAATGTTTGGGATTATTTGGATCTCTTGTGGTTCTTGCTTTGGGCTGTGGTAGGACAGAATATATATATTGAATGACATTGCCTATAGTTAAAACTGCTGAACATTTTTGAGTGCATACAGTTTTACTTAATAAATTAATACATATTGCACATACCAGATATTATGAAGATCCAGTATAATATTACTTTAAAAAGAAAGGATTAGTTTATCTTGGTCCTAAAAGCACAGTTAATTTGTTTTAAATAATAGGATAAATCCAGTATTGTTGATTATGCTTCCATGTGTTACATAAGAATGATAACAAGCAGACTTACATGTTTTTCAGTCTTAGATCATATGGTCTAAATACATTTCTTTCCAAAAGTGGAAGCTTTGTTATGCATAAGGCAGTAGGAGCTGCACACACCTAGTTGTGTGCTTGTCTATGGCTAGAGCTGATTTGATATACTTTGGAGGCAGTATTATGGGATTCCTGTGACTATGTATTAGATGTATGAAATACATTTGTATTTTCATCTTGCATACTCTGCCCCACTTTATTTTCACATTCCCCAGTGTGAGAATCAAGGGGGGGTGGGGGGGCGGGAGGTGAGAGGGAAGGCTACTTACTGGCTGCTTAATTCTAAGGGACATGGGTGGGGAAACCATCTAATCAGGAGAGACTGGCAGGGGCAGAAAAAGTATCGCCTTCTGGCCATAATGAGTCCGTGGTCCCAGTTTGCTTCTCCCATTCTTCTTCAAGCCAACAAACCAGTTCTTCTCTGCGTGCATCTTCGACGTGTATGTGTTGTAATGGTTCTCTTCCAACCGTTCCAGGAACAAACACTCCTCTGTTGGCAACTGCTGAAGAAAAAAAGGGTGGCGCATTCATAAGGCAAAGCAAACTCAGTGGGTTTCCTGTCACTACTGGAGGACGGTAGTGATTGAGCCTTGATTGTTGGAAGGGTCCTGGCAATGCCACGTGTATAGGCAAGCCTGGATCACTGCAGACATGGCACAATGGACGAGATGGGGAAATTAACCCTTTTGGGCCAAGTGCTTGTTGTTCAACGAGGTACTTTCCACTGAGTTCCTTCTGTCCCAAGGCTGCCAACATGTCCTCCCACCACTCCAGGTTACTGGATGAACAGTACATGCAGCATCTCAGAGGCCTGTTTATCTGAGGTTAAATTTGGCTCAGTGCCCCTAATGGCAACCTCCGCTGTGATTTGGCAGCTGAAGGAAGAAGTCCTGCTTCTTCCACATATGAAATTCAATATCTGAAGTATTTTGGAACATTGTTTCAAATTATTCTATTTATTTTTCCAGAAATAAAGTTGGGCACTGGGTGGCAATCCAGCTGCAAAAACAACAAATGACATCTAATTGATGTTCGTGGGCTAAGTTACTCTGTGCTACAAGATTTCCGCAAACCTCAAAACCTCCCCATGCCCGATCCCACAGAAACCTCATACTTACCGAGCCATATAAACGTCCATTGGCATCCATAGCCAAGTACTGTCCAGACTCAGTGCCCTTTATATACACCTCACCCACACTTTCTGCACTTAGCAGCAGTTGGACTGCAATTGAAAAAAAGAAAAACCTTTAGGCCTGAGGAAGGCACATGATGTTCTACTGCTGGAGCCGAACAGTTTTGGCCCAATAAGCTGCAGGCATAGGAGGCTGCTAGGGAAGCACATGTCAGCTGTTCTGAGCTTCCTGGTGGAAAAGCAGGGCGTAAGTGTGATAAATACAACAATGATGGCATGAATAAGAGAAAGAATCAGGGCTTCTCTACATGAGCCATTCAATGTGCACTCAAGATTCTTTGCTTCTGGAAGTCTGTGCGGCCTTTTCTTGACATTACCATCCCGCCGGTCCACTGCTCAGCCACTCCCATGGCTTTTTTAGTGCATAGCAAGTCTGGCTCTATTCCGGATGGCACTGTAATTCCCAACAGAAGCCTAGCTTATTTTTGCAATTCAACTCTATGCCACAGTGCCACTTGGTACTGTGTAAACATATAGAACAGCAGAGAGGAAAGCTCCAGGGGAAAAATACCTTGTTAAGCAACATTTTAGTCTTCTTGTAAATCAAATGGAAGCTTATGTTGGTAAAGCACCCAGTTATTTGCCTCATGTAGAGAAACCTTACATTTAGAGTTCCAATATTAATCTTGTTATTTAATAGAAACAGTGTGTGTGTACTTAAAAATCTAAAAATCAAATTTAAATTTTAAGAAAGCAGGGTGGGTTTTATTTTGTTTTTTAACCATCCTTTTTTATTCGGCCTGCACTAAAGCCACACAGCTCTTTTTCTTTCTCAAAGAAAATGTTGTGGTATATTGTGCCACTCCCACTTAAATATTGATTGTTATTCTCTTTAGAAAAGGAAGTAGTTTAAAATATCTCCAAGATTTCTTTTCTGCAGATCATAAAATCTATCTCCAAGGGAATTATTCTGCTGTAACTCCCTGTACATATCTGGAACATTAAATGTAGCAAGCAATTTACTTTTAATACTTCCTTACCCTTAAATACAAGCAGCTTCAGCAAAAGAGGAAAATAACCTACAGAATGCCAGGATTAAAGCTATGAGGGAATTTTCACCTGTGCCTGAGATTCTCCCATCATCTGGTACGTGACAATCAAATCAGATGACCAGCTTCCCTTGCTGCACATGGAAGATGCTACGTAGATGTAATAGTTTCAGACAACAACAGTCTGGGAAAACAAGAGCTACTTCCCCTGCAGACGTTGTGTAAAGATTCTTCTTTCCTTTTTCTTTTCTTTTTAATAGAAAATCTTGCTCTGGTATGACAAAAAACATACTGAATGCTCTAATGACTTTGCCTTTGGAAAACTATAGCTGCTATAGTTCATACCAAATGCCAGAAGAAAGAAAGAGAGGGAATTATAGAACAGCAGTAAAATTAGAACTGGTAGGCTTAGTACTAAGTAATTAAATAAAACCGTGGCTAATGGGCAGTGTAGACATTTGATAAATAAAAACAAATATAAAAGAGACCAGTGTGCATTTGGGTAGCTGTTTAACCAAATATCCGTATTTCTCCTTATCCCTGTTTTCTAATCTCATTTTCTCTCCATCCCCCATATTTTTACTTGTTTTAGAAAGGAATCAGGAATATAAAGGGGGTAATGGTGGCACTGCTCCTGACCCCAATCACTGTAGAAGAGGTTGGTTTGGTATTCTGCTTCTTTGTATCAGGAAATGAGCAGTCACACACACACAGAAAAACACTGAGAAAGCAAAAGAGACAGACAGACACTAGAAGAGGTTGTGAAAATTGTGTTTTCTTTAGGAACTGTCCATGCTGCATTAAGGAGGCCCATCTCATGTTTTTGTGGTTGTAGCATGAGTTGGAGAATAATCCATGATTATTATCATGGAAAAAATATGTTGCTGCTTGTGCACATCCGGTGATACAAACAGTTTCTGCTCCCTTCAGTAGCGCCAAAGTGAGTCTTGCATCCATTACTAGCCATACACAAATGACATTGTAAAGATTAGACCAATAGGTTGTGGAAAGTGAGGGCACCACCCAAGTTTACTTATGGAGTCAGCAATGAGACTTGTGCTCTGCAACTAGGGTTATTCCACTGGCACAGATCCGTTTAAGGAGTTTCCTCTGTAAATATTTTTTCATCAGGATATCCAAGTGTAATAGTTCATTTACACTAAGCTCATTTCTGGCAGGGACTAGCGAACATACATCCTTTAGAAAGCACACTGCAATGTGTTTGCAGAAAAAAAAATAAGACGCCTCTAGTGAGAAAATGATGTGTGGTTTTATGTGTGTGTGTGTTTCTCTCATCACACTGGCTCATAGTTTTCCTTCTTCATTTCTGTGCTTGCTCTTACCACTTGCTGACTTATTAGACGAAAGGAATCCATCATTGTAAAACCACAGCTGGACTTTGGGACAAACCCTTTGGTACCACAAGATGTGGTGGTGACCATTAGGATAGAAGGCCTTTTGAAGTTCAAACAAATTCTTAAAGGGTAACACAACTGTTAATGATGATAACTAAATTGTATATCTCCATGCCTAAACTCTATATTCCAAAATGCCAGATAACCAGGGCAAACAATTATGGCAAGCCCTACCATTTGACTAACTGATTTTTGGGAAGAAAAATTTTGGACTAGATGTACCTTGGTTTGATGGAGGTAGGTTTTCCATATGCTCCCAAGACAATGGAATCAAGCCCCTTTAAAACTTCACAATGGGATGGCCTCTGGAAGATATAATTTCTGCTAGAATTAAACGAGAACTATTTTGGTCAGCTTTAACAAAGTTTGCAGAAGCCTGGGGGAAAAGTGCTTCTGAGGTAGACCAAGGGTTTTCCATTTCAGTGTGAAAAAGAATGTGAAGGAGATTTTTTCCAGTTCCTTACTTTCCGTGAAGCACCTTGCCATGCTTCCTAAATATCTCCTCCAGAGCACTGAAGACCCTCCAGAACAGCATGAGTAGTGTCATTTAAAAAAAAAATACCCCTCCCCTTGCACTTTCCCTCAACTGGACCATCTTGAGTAGAACTTCACTCAAGAAGGAGTGGCAGGAGCAGACTCTGCATCCAACCCAATGACTTGTCATTATGGGAAGAGAAATAATATAAGTCAACCACTGTCAAAAAAGTCTACTATCTATGTGACAGGTTCTCTAAGAGTTCTAAGGCGGCCTTTCTTCCCCTGCCAAAGCTCTGTGGATGGATACATGAATGTATATCTAATATCCTCCCAACATTCCCATGGAATTAGTTCTTAGACCCTGTGAATTGCTTAGGACCTGATTCATACATTTATTTTTATTTATCTACAGTATTTTTACCCTGTCCTTAACACATGTCTCAGGACAGCTTACAACATAATACATGCATTCTATGGTGTGGCAGCTGTCTGAAGATACAGTTACATTATGTGCGGCTTGTATGTAGCAAGTTCTTGGGCATTTGGGGATTCTTCACCATGAAAATATAGCTCTTCCTGTGTGTGGCTTGTATTATCATGATGAAAATTGCCCAAGCTGCATGGAAAGCCACCTGCCACATGGAGCTATCGCCACATGGTTTCACTCTCAGGGGGCCACAGCACCTGAGGGTACATTTGGAAACTGGGCCTCATGTGGCCCAAAAAAGACAGCTTGGGCTAATAGGATCCAGGCAACTGACTAGAACAAGGTGAAATATACACAATGTTAACAAATATAGGAATAGTCCTGAGTCAATTTTATTTCCCTAAACAATACTCTTGGTATCTCTGGAATGAGTTGGATTAATTACAGGAGGAGTTTCTATCTGGTTGTTGTTGAACTCAAACTTTATGGCTGAGGTTCAAACAGCTACCAAAGGCTACCCAATGGGGTTTTCAGTTTTGAATGAACTGCACCCCCTTCCACCAAACACACACACACACATACACAATCTACTTTTGTGCCATGTGGTGTGGGCTGGCTGATTTTCAAGAGATCAGCAACTTGCTGACCACACAGAACTAACCATGCAGCTCTTTAGATTCAACCTATGTCAGGGCCAGCATCAATGGTGAGCAATGTCAAGCACCTCTTGAGGCCTGTACTTCTGCAGGGGTCCCAACAGTAATAGTAATGAAGAGGAAGTGAGAAGGCATAGAAGGTATATTTCCAAATAGCCCCTAAACCTCTATCAGGCATGTTCCCAAAGACAGGGGTCCAATACATGTGTTTCCTTTTGCATCTCATGTTTTGCTTGTTCCTTGCGAACTGCAAGTACTCTTACACTTTCTGCAGAATTTGCTCCTTGTTTGCTTTCCTACCTCCACTGATTGAACAGGGTTTCAGAAAGGTTACATGCCAGTTTACTCTAGGTTAGAGACTTCCTGTCTGTCCTTTGCTATGTTTACTCAGGATGAGATCATCTTCATTCACTAAAATGTTGAGTGTGTGTGAATGTGAGTGTGCAAATGGCATTTATAATTAAACCTCTACCATAAACTGACTTCAGAAACCAGAGAACAAAGCTGGGGCAGGGGAGGGAAACCACATATTCCTGTGGCTTTTCTTAAAAAAAGAAGTACTTTTCTTAGAATTTGGAGAGTGTGCCTGACTCTGTCATCTCAACACATCCTGCAGCAGGGAGTCCAGCTGTATTCCAGTAAATGCGCAGTAGCCCAGTGTACACACAGAACAGGAAAAGGTTCCTACCGTGAAATCAGTGTATTGTGAGTGTGTGTTCCAGTGCACAGTGGAGCCCTATGTATGTATGTATGTTCTGGACCAGCAAAACAGTGAAGCCTTTTATACTAGTTCTTCTCACAGTATCAGCTCTCATCTCACCAGCCAATTTTCCTTGACAAAGGATTTCACTAACCTTTCCAGGTCTTTCTGAGACCATAATAGTGCATTAATATATTTGAAGTTCAAAAACAAGAGTTGTTTTGACGAAATGCTAGACTCATCTCAAATAGCCAATCGCAAACAGATACTTCATTAAAAAGAAAAAAGAAAAAGCATGACACAATCCATAATGAAGTGGAGGCAGTGTTCAGACAGCAGTCTGAACATTCCAGTTGATCACGGATAAAATCTAATTATCCCATTGTTCAGCTTAGAAGTAATATGTGCTTTTTTATAGAACATGGAGCAAGGAACAAGCATTAAGTCCCATAAACATTAAGAGAGAAGTTCTTGGGAGAAGTTGCTCCCATGCATTTTCAGTCTTGCTTGCTCCTCTTCCCTTAATGCTAAAGCACAGAAAAAGAGAAGTAGAGGTAGAATTTCAGCAGATTCCGCTTCCTTGGGAATATATTATGTACTGCTGCCTAGGGAAAACAGAGGTATGACTCTGTATTGAGAATACATCCTATACAAAACAATAAAATGCATTCTTTATCCACAGGAAGATTCATCTTAGATATTTTGCAGAAGACCTTAATTTTCATAAAGGTCTCCACTCCAGACAAACTAATTCAGAAAGTAAATGGATATGGTCAAGTTGGGAATACTGGCATAAGCCTTAGCAGGACAGGAATACTGCAATCAGCTTTTAGGGGTGGAATGCTATGATCTCCTAACACTGGAGGACCAGACAGGGTTTTTCACAGTCCCAGAACCAAGGTTCTGAGTGGGACTTGTGCTAGTTCAGTGCTGGGATTTGAAGGCTGATCCCTGCACTCCTTGCAGCCTGTGCAGCAGAAACACATTGCCTGCCTGTCCAGGACTGCAGATACACCTTGGAGAGGGTAAAAGGGGTATGCAAGCAGTGGGGATGGGGGAAACTGGGGGCCATCAGTGTCCAAGTCTCCTTCCCTCCTCCCACCTCAGAATTTATCTAGCTGGTCAAAATGACCGTCTAGATAGAATGCATGGAGCAAGTGGCACTGGAGTTTGCGGCTGCCATGCCTTGCTCTGGACACAAGTCGCCCTCAGTGTTCAGCGGTGTACCGGTTCTGAGGGCAGGGGACATTGGATTGTGCCTAAAGTGCCTAAGTTTTATAGCTTTCATCATGAACACTCCAGTACAAAAGCTACCATTTTTCTCTACTGAACTTGATGGACAGTGGAGGTCAACCCTTGGTGTGGCATTACTTATTTCATTTTTATACTTCCCAATAGCCGAGGCTCTTTCATTTTCAAAATGAGAGCTACTTTGTCTGAAGTTTGGGTAAGCGTCCTGGCATCTGCCCTGGAATTCCATCACCATAATTCTAGGAGTATAAATATTCAGGCACTGGGGTAGGAGGCATGAAGGCACTCTGATTTTGAAGCTGAGCTGGGAATAAATGCATGGCACAGCAGCTGGCATCCTTTTTTTTTTGGTGCGGCTCAGCCTGGCAACCTTTTCTTCATGCCTTGGACATTGTGTGGTACCACTTTCTCTCTGCTTTGGGATTTTACGTGTAATGATATAACTGGCCAACACAGGCTGGTCAGAGAGATGAACCACTGTAAATGGATTTGGTTGAGATAAGCAAAAGCAGGGCCATAAAATCAAGACCAACCATTCCTGCATGTGTTTTTTTTTTTTTTCCAGTGCTGCTGAAAAAGACTGGAGGCCCAGCTAAATAGTACAGGGGATGCGTGATTCAAAGATTCAAAATTCTTGTGCATCTAGAAATGTGTTGTAAAAAGGTTTCACTGTGGAGCGAATGGCGATGCACGCAGTATTTCCCTATGTCTGGAATGGATAGGGATGAATTTGCATTGCAAAATTGGCCCAGTTGAAATGAAAGGGAGTCCTCTTGCCATGCAAACTGCAGGTGCTCGGGGAGCAATCTGAATTGGACCCACAGTGGAAGGCAAAAGGTTGAATCTATTTTAACCCACCATGCTGTGGTCCCAATTTGGATCAGCCCCCCTTTGTTGATTTGTTATGAATTGCTCCTGCACTTACCTTCAAAGCTATATGAATAGCATCACTTGTAGTTTGGCACTGAGTTCACACAGGACAATACTGAGCTCCAACAAAGCATTCTATAATATGGCTTGGAATCCTTTGCTAGACAGGGGGCTTCCACTATGGTCAATGTTCCTAGGTTCCTCAGCAGGTAGATCATTCTAAAAAGGTAGGAAGTTTGAAAGCCACTGATAAAGGGCAAGGAAAAGCTTACTGTGTCTGTCATTTCGGTCCATTGTGCCATCTACTTTACCATCAGGAAGTATCCTTAAGAAGTGGCCTCCATTGCTGCAGTAAAGGAGTTTGGGCTTCTTGTAATTCTCCATTGGGAGATCAAACTTTTCCATCAGGGCTGTGAACGTTGTTATTTCCCCTTCAGCCATCCCTTACGAGTCAGTGCTTCAGTACTGGAAAAGAAATTCAACAAGTTTGTAGCAGTAATAGCAATGTATGCAATGCATTTATTGCAACTGCATTATCAAAAAGGGGGAAGCAGTCTTTAACGAATCAAGTGGGGATTATTTTGCACACCAGCAAACCTCACTTTCCATGAAATCAACCATGGAATGTGCTGTTCCTTCACATTTGATCCACTTAACACTTGAACATTTGAAAATATAGTTTTATTTCTTTAATCTGGAGTACTCATATCCTATAGTACAGGCCATCCTTCTGCATCCTGACCGCCTGCAGATATTTTGCACTACAACTCCCATCACTTCCTAGCCAGCACTGGCCAGGAATTCTAGACCAACATTTCTAAAGGGTACCAGGCTCTGGAAGGCTGCTTCAGGCCAGTTAGCATGAATTCAAAACCATGATGTAAAAGAATAGTAAAACATAAGCAAAAGCAGTTGTATCAAAAGCTTACACGCTAGATTAAAGAAATACATTTGACTGCATAGTTTCATAGGAGTAAGCCACACTTATCACAGTGGGAGTTAATTCTGAATAAGCATGCACAGAGGGTTGCACCATACCCAAAAGACATCAGAGGCAGGCCAGCCTCTCTGCAGACAGCAGTCTGGAGTTGTGGTATGACAACTGAAAAGGGCTCCTCATGCGTCCCCTTACTGGTTATTACCAGAGAACAAATATTAATTCTTTTTTAAAGTTCTTTGGGGAAATGCTTTTATGGTTTCTTCCATTCTGTCTATAAAATATATAGTTTTAAATCTATGCACCTATTAAGCCAATCTGTCTGAGAAATAAACAAGAGGCACTCGGCTCCCTGCTGTTTTGATTAGGTACCGAGTCGAACAGACATCCTGCCAAAGCAATCACTAATCATAGGAATGTTCAAGAAAAAGTGGGAAATTGGTAATTTATGGGCCCAGTGTTGGTAATCCTTTTCACTTCTGAAGAATCTGCAGGGGCAGACAAAAAGATGGCTCTATACAGAAATCATACTTGGACATATTGAAAATAAGCTGCTTGAGCAAACGAGTGGACGTTCCTCAAGTAAGCTTGGCTGGTATCGTAAAGAGATTTCCAAAAGTGCAAGGAAGTGTTGTGCCCTACACTACAGCCAATAGCCATGCAGGGCGCTATTTCTCACCCAGTGGATTTGACGCCCTCTTCTGGCTGGGCTGCAGGCTTATTTGTATAGTTTGATCAAACGGTCAAAGCCCCTAAAGCACTAATCTTCTAAAAAGCCCAGCTCAGGGCCCTTAGCTGAGATGAAGGGAGAGGCAGGAATGGAAAATGAAAAGTGGGACATGCGGTAGATCTAGTTCTACTCCTTGTAAGGCCTGTTTAACTCTCAAGTCAAAGCAGACAATCTACAGATTGCAGATCATAGAAGAGCTCTGCTTTTCTTTGCGCCTGACAGCACCTTTCCTCATGCCCATTTCAGGATATAATACAATAAAACCAATGCTGACCCATTTGTTACATTTGCTGAAATACGAAGGCCTAAGCCAGGATGCTGCCTTCATAGATTTGATGGTCTGATCCAAATGCTTCTCTGAAACATTTTAGCAGAACAGCTCAATTGGACATTTGGAAATGATTTAGTTAATTTCATGTTACTATACTTCTTTAAGATTCAGCACTATTTTTAGAATCTGTCCCTGCTTGCCAGCAACCTTTGACTCCCAAGGAGGAGTTGAATGAATACTATTTTCCACCCCCATTGTCCTGCTGTGCTAGACTTGAACGCTGTTCTCGTACTTTTATGATCATGTCGTTGATATTCCACACGCACAACCCTACTCCTGGTCCTGCCATTATACTTTGGACAAAGAGGCACCAGGCTTTACTGGAATAACCGTATTTGCATGCACTTGCAAGAAAGAGGACACAAACCAAATGCAACGTAAGAGGACTTTTTTCCTAGTCAGCCTTTTAATGATTGAAAAGCTTGGAGAGGACCAGGAAACTACATCCACGATGACCTCTCTCTTCAGCATTCCACAGCAAAGGTGAAATGCTCCAAAGTGAAACACCCTACAAGGAAAGGCTTTTGGCGGTTGCTTGGATTAGGCCTTTGGTTGGATTAGGACAGTAATGAATGAGCGGATGCATTTGTAGGCTCTTACAGCTAATCTAACCTTGCACACTACATATCCAAACATGTTAGATCTTTATATCTTGTTCCAATGTTAACTTCCTTTTCATTTTTAAGTAGGCTCTCAGCACATTTACTTGACTGATTTGCACTGGGCTCTATTACCTTACACTCTCATACTACTTGAGAGTATATGATTGCTGTCTTGATGCAATAGGATTTCCAGTTAATGCTACACCAAGATCTTAATATGCATTTAATGAGAAGAAAGCCTCATTGAATTCACTGGGCATCTGTGGATATCATTGCAGCTTAGAAGGTTTCAGAAGCTCACTGTGGAATCCCGAACAAATGTTATTGCTGGTGGTCAGACAAAATGATCAGTCTCCTAAATTTAGCGGTTTCACTTGATCAGATAACTTAAATGCAAAGCAAAAATGTTTCTTCAAACTGTTCTTTTAATTTCTTCTCCAAAATTGCACATTTATTTACTTTACATTTTAAAATCTGGATTTTAATAAAAACCTTAAAGAACCAAATTGGATTTTTTATTGATTGTAAAATGCATAACTAAATCCAGGTTGAAAGCGAGCAATTCAGTGTACAGTATATGAAAACACAAACTACAAAAAGATGCAGTAGAAGCAAGCTGTTGAATAAAAAGAATGACTGGAAATTGCTCAGTCGGGAAAGACTTGGCTGAAAAGAAAAGTCCAGCAAACACCAAAGACCAAGCAATATAGATACAAGTTTGATTTCAGTTGTAAGGGCATTTTCCCTCTTTCCACAGTAATATACAACACAGATGAATGGTGGTGTAAATTAAATTGTTATTGAAAGAGCATGTCCATTACCCATGTTCCAAAACTATTCTCAATGTGGGATCCCAGAGACTACTGGGATGTTAGAACAATAATGCTGTGGAATCCATTGAGCAAATCCACTGATCCTTAATGTGAAGACTGACCCACATATGTATGAGTGTAAAACATCGCAACCTAGGCTAGCATAGAAGACTGCAGTCAGCAAAAAGAACAAAGCCAACATTTTCCCTACTTCTTTCCTGTATTCTCCTGTGCTTGACAACTCTGTACGTGTTCCAATCCTTCTCGGTTTAAATCAGCATTTTTCTGAGCTAAACTGGAGACACATTTCTGTCATATACCTGAAAAGGCCTACTTTGAAGTGTATGTTCAAGGACTGCTTAGCCTTAGAGAGAAGCCTACCCTCTTGTTTCTCTGCATGAACAATTCTTCAAGCATGATTCAGTGCAAAGATGCAGCCAAAAAACTCACACCAGCACACTGAAAGGACTGCAGCACACTGAAAGGACACTGACTCACACAGAGATATCATACGCAACCTCTTAGATGTACTCCAAGGAGTCTTAATTAGTTGATTGATTTACAGCATGGGTCCTCAAACTAAGGCCCGCGGGCCGGATCCAGCCCACCACGCCCATTTAACCAGCCCGCCCCACGGGTTTTGCACTTGCCAGCGCGCAGCTTGCTCGCAAGGAGGTTGTTTTGGACTAGCTTGGAGAAAATGATCTCCTCGCAAGCAAGCCGGCGCCTCGCCATGCGCGCACCCAGGGTGGCTTGCTTGTGGGGAGGTCATTTTGGACTCGATCTCCTTGCAAGCAAGCTGGCACCTCGTCCCGCACCCCCCCGCCTTGCCTCGTGTGCACGCACATGCACCCCGCCCCTCACCAGTGGCCCACGCCTTGGTGGCCTGCACAGCTGGCACCTGTCAACTGGCCTCCTTTAGAAAAAGCTGAAGGACCCCTGATTTACAGGGTAACTGTATGGAAATCTTCTGCGAAAAATGCCAAACTGACTTATTCTTAGGGTCCTCTTTTCTGTAGCACAGCAGCGGTTTGGAAATTAATTCTAGACTGCAAACCATCTGCCATGGTTTTAAGAACACACACATACTCACACCTACCTCTCACTACATTAATAATAAAATGATAACAATGAAAGGTCATTAATTTTATAACAGATGAATCAATCAGTCAATTTTTAGACTTCTCTCTCTCGCTCACACACACACTATCATACTTCTGTTCAAGTGTGCCTGTGTTAGAACCTCGAGATTTCAATTTTGGAATACTTCTTTAACCCATATTTATTCCTTCACTATTTAATTGTTTAAAATGTCTCTCCATGGTCGCCAACAGCAGTCATTCGAGCAGGTGGTACTGCAGTGGATGAGGGGAAAGCCACGCCACGCCACGCTGAAAGACTTACTTCCATTTTCCTGCTCCCTTCAAACTCCTCATGTATCATGTCCTTTTAAACACTGAGCCTGTCTTGTTTAATCAATGATATGAAAGTCATTCTGGGAATATTTTTGGTTGAGGAGCAGCATAAAAATACTTCAAATAAAATATATTCAAAAATAAGACTTGATACTTCATCTTTGCCTAAACTTCAGTTATCACCTGTCTTAAATCTTTTAGGGTACAGTCTAGTACTCTCTGCTTGAGATGGATCTAGGCTTCCAAACTCAGAGGCTTACATGCATCTGATTCACGGAGCGAGGAACAGCAGTGTGATCTCCACTGCCACTGTGCCTTGAGTTCGGCATCCTCTCCAGGTGGTTGCCTGGCCTTCCATCTTAAGGGTGGGGAGTGGCAAGTCTTTCCATACTGACTCCTAGAGAAGCAGAGTGGGGGCCCGGACTTCAGAGTGCCAACTTCAAATAATCTTGTGTCCCCCACCCAAGTAAACCCTGAGAGCCCACAGAATTGCACCATTAATAGCCTCTCCCTTTTTGAGAATAAACCTGGGAAACTCCTTTTTCATGTCCTTTATATAAAATGTACTGTGTTCTCACCCCATCTCTTCACTCATCCAGTAAAAGCAATACCTTTTTCTCTACCATGCCTGTTACAAT